GAGGAAGCGGGTAAGCATCGGCCACCAAGATCTTATTTAACCGCCGGAAATCAACGCAGAACCTTAGGGACCCGTCGTGCTTTTTAACCAATACTATGGGTGCACCCCAAGGGCTGGTCGATGGAGAAATGATGTCAGAAGCCAACATGTCATCTACAGCCAATTTGACATGATCCTTTTCGGCGGGACTTAACCGAAAAGGATTTTAGCGGATAGGAGCGTTGTCACCGGTATCAATATGGTGGCGCAGCAAATTGGTACATCCGATGTCGTATTTGTGTTTGCTGAAAACGTCGGAAAATTCTCGCAAAAGGGTGCGCAATTTAGTACGTTGTGAGTTGGACAGGTCAGGTGACTCAGCACACAGCGCCTCCAGCCAACCCTCGTCAATGTCCGAGGGCAGTCGCAACTGAGAATCGGTGGCCACCTGGCCAATAATCGGCATTTCTGCAGGTACCGGAATCGCATGTGTGAACACGGTTCCCTGTGAAACCACCGCCGTCCATGTCCCGACATTGAGGACCGCGATAAACGGGTCCTCATCCCCTTTAACAATAGTCTGGGCCGTCACCAAATCTGGCCCATTCACCCCGGCCCTAGACGGCTCCAGCATAATGCCCCGGTCTGAGACACCTTTAGCGAATGGTCGACGCAACCTTAGGGGCACAAGCATCTGTGCTCCCGGGGGTACGCGCACCGTTCGAGCAACGAGCGCCTGTACCGTTGCACAGGCAGTACGCAAGGCAGGGGTGAAAGGCAGGAACGTTATACGTCAGCCCGATAGAAGCTCGATGCATCCATGGTCAATCAAAATTTTGATAGGCAATTTGGCCAAAAAGTCTGTCCCCAACAGGCACAGAATTGCCAGCGAGGAGGAGACCAACACCGGGCCAGATAGTTTAATGTCCCCGATAGAAATTTGCGCTCGAATTTGGCCGATGATACCTAACGAGCCCCCGTTTGCAGAGTAACACGGTATGTCGACGGGGAGCAACGGGCGACTCTGAACGGGCAGGATATTATAAATCAAATCGGAAATGATAGTCGCCAAAGCTCCCGTGTCGATGAGTACCCGTACCTCCACCCCATCAATGTGCCCCGTGACAACGGACGACCCCGCCGACGCAGCCACAACGCGGTGAGCCAACTCGGACCATTGGTTGGAGCGCCCTCCCCATCAAGCCGCGACCCGACACACCAGCACCCGAACCCCGAGAATCGTGTGTCGGACCATGTGAGAGGGAAGTGGGTGTGCGTGCAGGCAGAACATGTGGGGTGCCACGACTTGCCGGAGGATGTTGTGGAGGCTTTTGAAGAGGGCTGTCCTCAGCCCCAGTTCTCGCTCCGCGCTGTCGAGGAGCCCGGCATCCCGACGCCACATGGCCCCGAAGGCCACAGTTGTAGCACACGACGAGCACTCCAGAAGACTTGGGCTGCTCTCGGTGGCTCGGTACGTCCCGAGCCGGTCGCCCGCCAGACCGCCATCCCGCAGAACGGCCCGCAGCGAAGCCCCCCTCAGATTCGGAGGTGGTCGCCGCCACGGTGTGTCCCGCAGCTGCCTTGTTAGCCTTCCTCCGCTGGGAAATCAGATTGGCATGAATGTGCCTCACAGCCCGTAATGACGACATGTCCGCATCATCCTGTGCTAGGATGACGAATTTCAAGTCGTCGGCCAGCAGCAAAATTTTCTCGGCCACCATCGCATCGATCCCCTCCTCGTCCATGCGCGGGAAGGCCATCTTCGCCAACGACAGCAGGGCCGTGCGGTACGCAAGTAGTGACTCCTTGTCGCCCTTCTGCCGCTCGTAGAAAAGCTGGCGACAATCGGAAGGCGGCCCATAAACCGTGGCCAGCACCTGCAGCGCCGACTGAAGCATGGAGCATGCCGACTTGGGTGCAGCGGTGAGGGTGCCAAGGGCGTCGCCATCCAGCATCGCCGGAAGAGCACACAGCGCCTCGTTGTCCGTCCACCCAGCCATTTCTTGGTGGGCGAGGAACCGGCGCTGGAACCCACCCCAATTGCCCCCGCTCGATACGAACACCTGCAGGGCCGGCAGGCGTTGCTGAAATGTCGGCTCCGTCTCCGATACTCTCCCAGCACTCGTACCGTGTCCATGGAGAGTATGAGGAGCAATGGCGGACCCTAATGGAGGTCGCGCCGTCGGTGACGCGCTGGTTCCAGCTTGGTCGGTGCTGTCGTCCGCTGGTGATGACCTGGCGACCGCTGATAGGCAGCCACTGCGACCCGCCGATGACGTGGCGCTCGCTGGTTGGGCCCTGCCGCCCGCGTGACGAGCTGGGGCCTCCTGCCCATCGCAAAGGCGGGAGTTTCTGGCGGGCGCTGTCCGTCTTCCCGCCGCGCCGCTCCCCCCGGCCCCAGGCGAGTTATCTGCTCCAGCATGGCGGCCGCTGCATATAGGAGCTCCGCCAGTCGGGAGTGGGCTAACGCCAACTCATCAGCCGACGTCCCGACCCTCTCCGACTGTCCCGCAGGTGTTGGAGCTGGCAGCGGTTGTGCAGGTACGTCGGCGGCGATGTCTTGCACTGCCTCTCCCTCGTCGTCGTCCTCTCCGGGGTCTTGGGCACGAGTCGTCCGTCTCGTATCCATGCTTTTGGACCACTCCTGACGCCAGATGTAGTGAGTTCAGGGAGACGACGACGGATTTGAGGCACACTCTTTTTATTAACTCAGGGACAGACACAATAGTTGAAGGGGTAATAGCTTGGAAACCACCCCTAGTACTAAGTCCCCTGTCCTGTTCCCAGTCCTCCTCTAATAGGCTACAGGAGGCTGTCTGATCTGGCCCTAGTAAGCACAGATCCCGGCACCCAGCTAAGCCAGCCTTGCTCTTACAAGAGCAGAGGTCCGGAAGCTCTTGGGCCGCGCTGCTGGCTTACCCAGCTCGGCCCTGACAAGGGCAGCGAGACAGGGGAGTCCCAGGGCCTAATCTGCCGGTCTTCGGACTTCACTGGTCAGCTTCTTGTTCAACTCGACCCCGAGCTCTCTGGCTCCCCGCCTTTTATAGGGATCCCCTCGGAGGGGCGGGGTTATGGGGGATCACAGAGCCCCCATGGCCCCCCAGTGGTTAACGGATGCGGACGTCGGTGCAGACACCCGTGTGTGTGGGTGAAGACACCCTGTGTTTCCCGTCCGCCTTTTCTCCCGTAATAACCCTACACCTTGGTGGAAGTAATGGAGCTTTGCCATTCACAGGACCCGTGATGATATACATGAGCTGCAGAATCTGCATTCGCACGTACGTCCACACAAAGAGAGCGACCCTTAATAGCAATACTTTATATAGCGTGATTCATGCTAATTTCATCCCATAACACCGTACATTTATTATATATAAGGACCAAATCATAAATACTGTACAGCTACTACCAAGCCATTGAAAACCCTACTGCCAAGCAAAGTTTAAAATGAAAAAACAAATAAAGAAATGACACAACTAAATTTTAGAGCTTTCATGATTGCAGGAATTATTCTTTGGTTCTTTCGGCAATGTCACGTATAAAGATAAAATAAAATACGTAATCAACCAGGCTATGCGTTGTGTGTTGACAGACTCTCTGTGTAGTTTTACATAACATTTCGATATTTTGCTAGGTTATTTAATTTAGTGTGTTCTTTCTCCCTCTCTCTTACTTTACTATGCGTCTCTTCGTACTCATTGACATGTAATTTTTTTCTCTAACCCCTCCCTCTCTCTGCCCCCGCCCCCCTCTGTCTATTTAAGGCCACCCCACAGAGACGATCACCCCTCTCTGTACCTGTGTTTCTCTTTCTGTGTATCTTGGTGATATGTCTGCTTATATGTCTGTCTGTTGTTTTCTGGTTAGATTTTGTGTCGCTATTTCATTATTCCTGATGATGATTGCTTGTGTTGCAATCGAAACGTCGTATGCTATTATTTAATTTATTATTTTATCTTTATACGTGACTTTACCGAAAGAACCAAAGAATGACACAACTAGTTGAGATTTCCATCGTTAACAAAAATCCGGCACAGTAATGATGAATCGCTCTGCCTATGGCACTGTGTGACATCACGGCCTGCTGCTGAAGTTGGCCAACATCATCAGACGTCGTTCTACTGTGCATCGAATCCATGTGATGCTCAGCCAAGCGTAGCTTCCAGGGTGCACCTCATTGGTGGCGTTGTCCGCCTCTGCGCCTTCTGCGCCGTTTTTACCCAGTTGGCCTCTTGTCATATATGGCCAAATGAAATCCACTGGGAGAATCAGCAGTAAAGCAAGCGTAGCTTGCTGTGATCTGGGATTCTCTTTGCTGTTGTTTTTTCGCCTGGCCCAAGCTTGGGAATTGGTGCACTTAAGCAATTTCAACTTGCATACTTTTTTTTGGCTTACTTATCTTAAACTTTGCAGTCCGATAGTTTTTGTAGTGTTTGTTGTTGTGACTTTCTGGCCCACCTTACTGAATATCTGTGAAAAGAGCTTCATAGCTCAACGGATCTCTCCAGGATAAAGAATCTGATTCTGACCTCACGGATGGCAACTTTTTCCCATCTATTTCTCTCAATTATGTACGTTCCACGAGCTAAGCGCACTCTGAGCGGCAAAGCACCCTGGTTCAAGACAAACCGCAGCAGCCATGATGGGGTGGTAGCCCTTTCTGTCTTGATTCTAAATCCAATGCAATCTATACGAAAGCTCAATGCATCTGCATCTCAGAATGATGTACTACAGCAGCGGGAATATTTTATTTGAGACGTCGTCATCCACAGATATATAACCATCGGTCGAGGGGCTGGTTTTTTTGGCTGTGTAAAATATTTATTCTTCTCTCAAGCATTTGCCACCAACTGATGTGGAGATTTTGAGCCTGGCTTTCGTGAAATGTGATGTGGTTTTTCCCCCCTCCACCCTGTCGTTTCATAAAGTAAATATTGTGAACGTTCCATTGCGTGCCCTAACTAAAGAGGTGTGCATAGTTAAGCTGCTGACATTACATTCATACCCCAGACCATGGTCAGTTCACTTATGAAATGAGGAAGTGTTCTAACCGGTCGTGTTAGTTACTTTAAACATTGTTCACCACACTGCTCAGTGATAAAGAACAACGGGAGTGGCGGAGATGGCAGGGATTTGGCTCTCTCCGGATCTTCTGCTGTGGATTTTAGTGATAGCTCAGACAGGTATTTTATTATATGATATTTATTCTTAAGACGTGCATGATTATTTATTTTTGTTTTATGTTTTGTGGATCACATTGCGATTTTATGTTGAAACAAATGTTTGTAATTGCATTGAACTGTGATGCCTTTGTTTGCTCAACATGAATACTTTTCCATTTCCAGGTCAAACACAAATGACGACGACTACAATTGTATGTAAGCGGCACTGCCTCATTTCACTTGTTCTTGTCAGCAGTTCTTGTTCTCTGGGACAATTACAAGCCTGACTTGCAATACAATATTATTGTCAGTGTTGTTGTGGAGAACATAAGTAACACAATAAACATATAGACAGTGCACCTCATTCCAATGGCTGTCGTTCCGCCTAACACATATTTTACACTTCCTATCAATGGGAAATACAAATAAACCTCTAATGGATAATTAGGTGAAAGCCTTTCCAGTATAATTTTACTTTAAATATTCATCCTAGATATCTCTTGAAATAGGTTCCATGGATATAATTGCTTGACCCAAGCTATTGATTCTTTGATATTTGCATTGTCTCTGTGCTGTTAGAATTGTGGTATTGTTCCCTGGTGTAACAGTGGTGTAGGTCAATTAGTTTTAGGTAAAATGCATACATTATTATCAAAACACGTTTGTTTGTATGTTTTACCACAATAATTGTGTGGTTAATGCAGACTTGATGCCTTATTATAGATATAGTTTTGGTGTTTGAACATCTTAATACCTCCTGTATTCTTGCTGGAAACAGTAAAACCTATTATAATGTTTTCATTATCTTGATACTGACAAAAAGGGTCCCATCGATATGGAATATCTTGTTTGCAAGGGTGTCCATGGTGTTGACTGACACCTACATTGCAAGTGCATAAGCACACGTGAGTTTTACTGTATGTATCAGGATAGTCGGGGAAATGTTTGACTCTTCCTCAAGTTGGCACTTGCATATCGAACTTCCTAAACGTGATTACCACACTGATTTTATGATAGACTGATGCACTTGGATTTACTGAAATACGCTGCATTTTACCATGCACTGCTTATTATATCAGATGAACTGTTCCAGTCACATTTATTTATTTTTCTAGAAAGTTTTACTTATGTTGGTAGCCTTTCCGCTTACTTTTGGGGAAGCTTCAGAATATTTTGCAGGATGCGTGAAGTGTGCTCCCACTTTGATATTTGGAAAAGATGGTGAGGTCCGGGTTGTAGTCGCATTGCTAGAATGGAAAGTTGATTGGTGCATATTTTCAGCGGACATCCAGTAGGTGAGGTATTTGCCGTCGGCCGGATCTACTGCATAGCCCCACATAGTACGTCGGCTGTTAAAGTCACCATACTATAGGGATGGGATTGGTAAACTTGGGATTGCTGGCTTAAGCCATTTTGAATGAGGGGCGTTGTACATGTTGGTTATGTGCAGCTCCCCTATCTTGCTGCTGATGTTGGAGGTCGCTTTTTTCCGTTCGTGGGAAGGCGTAGAACTCTGCGATGGTGCATGGATGTGGTAGTGATGGGCATATAGGGCATCCAAGACGTGGGTTTCTTGGAGCGTCAGGACATCAATATAATGTGTTCTCACGCTTAGCCAGGTTGATTCCCTCAATGTCCGGCTAGAGGATTCTCATCTCAGGGCTTATCTGGCGCGTTGTTTGGCCCTGAACAGGGCCATTGGTTTGGCTTGTGTTCTTATTTCTCTGGAGACCGGGATATCGATTATCAATGTTCGGTTGCCGGGTTAATCGCATTCATCGTGTTTCTCACTTAACAGCGTGATAAGGGAAGAGGTAGTTATAGGGGTTGGGGTAGGCATGGTTATAGCTGGGAAGCAGGGGCAGGGAGTAGCAGGATGATGATGATGCTGGGCTAGATGGGGGTTATTGTCAGGGAGGAATGGAAGCAAGTTGAAGATGTTTGCTCTGTGTGCTGCAGTGGAAGTTATTTGAAGTGAAGGGCAGCGAGAAGGGAGCACGAGTGAGAGACTCGGCGCAGGGTGATGATGGAGGCACAGTGAGGGACTGTTGAGATTGGGAACGTAGAGGACGGGATGGGACAGACTAGTACGAGATGATGGAAACAGGATGGGGTGGTGGGTCGAGCCCATGAAGGGATTTATAGATTTAGAGAAATGTAAACAGACCGTGATAGTAGACAGGGAGCTAGTCAAAAGTCCGGTAGAAGTGTGGGAATCGTGAAGTAGGTTAAAAATTATCCAAGCTGAGGCATATCGTATTTGTTGTTTGAGAGGAGTGAAGGCGTAGCCAGAGAAGGCCGAGGAGAAGAATGTTGTATGTATTGTCTTGAAAATTGATATTTTTTTTATAAAACATGTGTAATTTCATAAAATTATGCTAATTTATGTAATTGTGCAAGTTAGGCTCAGCTTCGTTGTCTAGGGGTGTATTATCAATCGTGATAATACAGTTATTCTCGCTTTAATTTTTATTGATTATGTTTAAGTGTATTTTTGTCAGGTCTCAGAATTCAGATCTCATCGCAGGATATAATTCTTATAATTAATATTATTACGTATGAACCTAGGAAGGAACCACTCAGAACAATCGGCTAATTCCTCAGAGTAGTGAGTACATATACAGTCGATAGGAAAAGTCATTTAAAAATAATATGATAATAGTCATACGAACAATGATAAAGAAACATGTGACCAAAGGCAAAAGTAGACATCAATGAATTATCTTCTTGGTTCTTTCGGTAAAGTCGCGTAGAAGGGAAATAATAAAATAATAAAAATAAAACATAATAAAATAATTCTCACGACGTTTCGGCCACAACGCAAGCAGCCGTCCTCAGGGGAAGAACAGGTCTGTCGAAACCTTCGGGTTGGTTCCCGGAGCTTCTCGACTGACTCCGCTCCCACAGGCCGGCAGGTGTCACCCTGTCAATACATAAACCCCCCCCCAACCCCTCCCCCCCCGTGGTGAAAAAATAGCCGTCCCGGCTACCAATAATACTGAAAATGCAAGGAAGCATAACACGCTCCTTCGGAGTGGGCAGGTAGGAACTAGGTTGGACAGCACGGCGATCGGGGGGGGGGGCAGTTGGATGAGTGGGCATGTTGACCCTTCCCCCCACCCTCCCCGACATCGTCAACCAATCGCGGCGTAGCTTGGTGTTCGGTGGGGAGGTGCATGGGTGGGCGGAATTCCGGATATGCACGACAGACAGACAGACAAAATCCCTGGTGGGCAGTGTGGAACCTGTTGTTCCTACCTGTATAACAATCTAGGTAACTAAGACTCACAGACACATACACTCACTCTCACATTCTGAGACTCACACACACACACACTCTCACACACACACACACGCTCACTCTCAGACTCACGCACACACTCACATCTCACACTCTCAGACTCACATACACTCACTCGCAAACTCTCAGACTCATACAAACTGACTATCACACTCTCAGACTCACACACACATACACTCACTCTCACACTCTCAGACTCACACACACACACTCACTCTCACACTCACACACACACTCACTCTCACACTCTCAGACTCACACACACACACTCACTCTCACACTCTCAGACTCACACACACACACTTTCAGACTCACACACACACTCTCATACTCTCAGACTCACACACACACACTCTCAGATTCACACTCACACACACTCTCACACTCTCAGATTCACACTCACACACACTCTCACACTCTCAGACTCACACACACACACTCACTCTTACACTCTCAGACTCACGCACACACACTCCCTCTCACACTCACACATACACTCACATCTCACACTCTCAGACTCGCACACACACTCTCATACTCTCAGACTCGCACACACACTCTCATACTCTCAGACTCACACACACACACTCACTCTTACACTCTCAGACTCACGCACACACACTCACACTCAAATCTCACACTCTCAGACTCGCACACACACTCTCATACTCTCAGACTCGCACACACACTCTCATACTCTCAGACTCGCACACACACACTCACTCTCACACTCTCAGACTCACACACACACACACTCAATGTCACACTCTCAGACTCACACACACATACACTCCCTCTCACACTCTCAGACTCTCAGACTCACACACACATACACTCACGCTCACACTCTCAGACTCTCACACACATACACTCCCTCTCACACTCTCAGACTCTCAGACTCACACACACATACAATCACGCTCACACTCTCAGACTCACACACACTCAATGTCACACTCTCAGACTCACACACACATACACTCCCTCTCACACTCTCAGACTCACACACACACACTCACTCTTACACTCTCAGACTCGCACACACACTCTCATACTCTCAGACTCGCACAGACACTCTCATACTCTCAGACTCGCACACACACACTCACTCTCACACTCTCAGACTCACACACACACACACTCAATGTCACACTCTCAGACTCACACACACATACACTCCCTCTCACACTCTCAGACTCTCAGACTCACACACACATACACTCACGCTCACACTCTCAGACTCACACACACATACACTCCCTCTCACACTCTCAGACTCACACACACATACACTCACGCTCACACTCTCAGACTCACACACACACTCACCCTCACACTCTAATACTCTCACACACACACACTCACTCTCACACTCTCAGACTCACACACACACAACAACCGCCATTCGCCACTAAGTTGCGGTGACATCACCACGACGCTCCAGTCTCAGCAGCAGTGTCTCCACCTCCTCTTCTGAATTAGCAGCTATTACCAAATCATCGGCATACATAACGTGGTTGACCAATAGGGAGCCATCCCTTGATCGCACCCGGGCGTCGATCAGCCTCCCATTATATCTGTACCAAATGGAAATTCCCCCGGTACAGCTATTGAAGGCTTCACGAACTACGCGGTCAAAATAGATGTTAAATAATGTGGGAGCCAGAGGACATGCCTGCCGCACCCCAAGGTGTACAGGGAATGGCTCTGACTCCCGGCCACGTAGTTTTACCCGGGCCCGCCCACCATCATGAAGGTCCTTAATGATCGTGAGCAGAGGGTCAGGGACTCCGAAAGCACGAAGAACAACCCAGAGCCCACGCCTACTGATGGTATCATAGGCCTTGACCAGGTCAATAAAGCAGAGATGTAGGTCTTGTTGGAATTCCCTACATCTCTGCTGTAGTAGACGGAC